AACCTTGGACATTTTCTTGCATTTCAAAGCACATTGATGATCATATGAACTCAAAATGATGTACTCTTGGTTTTCCTTTGATAAAATATGCAATGGCTTGAAGAAAATTGTTGATGAAGGCACGGAAATAAACACATGAAGCTTTGAACATTCTTGAGAAAGAAGTCATCAAATCTTGAGATACTTTTGATAAAATGAAGTTGAATGATGATCGAGACTCCATGATTTGAGATTAGAGGACATGCTAATAAACTTTGAAAATCAATGATTGACCATACTTTGACTTGAGGATCTCAAACCATAGTTGAGGATACATTCACCTAACTTGCAAAAGAAACAAAAGGGACAAGACATATATTTTTGTATTTTTGATTAAAGGTTAGTGAAATATAAAGCATATAAGTAGAAAAGATGTAAAGAAAATACAAAAAAGGTGCTTGGTGATATTTGCAAAGGCAAACCCGAAGGTGAGAGGGTTAAGAGGCAACCAAGTTTGTGATCTTGATGTATTGTAAAGGTGCAAATGAGGTGGGATCTTAGGGGTAAATATAAAGGTATGACATAAGGTGTTGATGTTGATGATGCATATACATGTGATAACTCTAATCTGCGTGTCATGTTGTTTTGCACAATCAATGACTTTCTTGCATACGATAATTTGTCTGGGTACGACGTCAAAGGACATAAGGTGTGTCCTATATGTGAAGATGATACATGCTTCCACCAATTACAAAATGGAAAAAGATTGTTTACCTAAGGCATAGAAAATTTCTAAGATCTAATCATCCATACCGTAGATTGCATAAGGCTTTTAGTGGAAAGCAGAAGTTTGGTATCACTCCAAAGCTCTTAACCGGGAAAGAATTTTATAAAAGATAACATCACATTAATGTTGTCTTTAGAAAGAAACAAAAAGGGTGCCACGTGGGGAAAAATATTTGGAAAAATAGGTTGGTGTTCTTTGATCTTCCATATTGCTCTAGTATTGATGTAAGACATTGTCTTGATGTGATGCATGTAGGGAAAAGTATAAGTTATAGTTTGATTGGAACACTTGTCAACATTAAAGGCAAGACAAAAGATACTAAGAAATCCTGTGACGATATGGTGGTGATGGGTATAAAACAAAAGTTAGCCCCAAAAGATATAGGAAATAGAACATATTTTCCCCCAACATGTCACACTCTGTCTAAAAATAAAATAAAAATGTTTTTATGATTGTTTATAGGGTATCAAAGTTCTCCAAGGGTACTCATCAAATGTGAATAAACTTGTATCAATGAAAAATCTCAAATTAGTTGGCTTAAAATCTCATGTTTGTCATATCTTTATGTAATAACTTCTAGTAGTGTGGCATTTTATCAAAAAATATAAGGATAATTATAACTAGATTGTGCTTATTCATCAATTCTATATGTAGTAAAGTCATTAACCTTGCAAATTTAGATGAGCTGGAACACGAGGCTTCAATTATATTGTGTCAATTAGACATGTTTTCGATATATCATTGTTTGACATTATGGTTCACTTAGTTACTCATTTAGTAAGGGACATTATGATAAGTTTTCATGATACCCTTCGTTATCTTGCATATGTAACCGTGGTTAAATCCCTTTCGTGCGTGAGGTTAAATGTGTTTTTTTATAGTAGTAACACCATCAACTTAAATGATATATTTGATAAAAACCATTTTATATTAACTATGAAGAAGAACTGATAGCCAAAGAAAGACGGAGAGGTTGAGGAATAAGGAAACCCGAATAAACTCAAATGTATGAAAAAGATTCTAATCATCGTCGAGATAATGGAGACTGGGGTACTTGGCCAAGTTCTCATCATACACTCATTTGAGCACATAAAGGGAGAAAATTTGGCAACCATGCGCACAAAATAACTTAAAAAAGCCGAGATCAAGAAAAACCTTACTCGATTAAGGAATCATCCGAGACAGATAAATTGAAGTACTGTCGTTTTCACAAAAGTCACAACCACAACACTAACAAATGCATCCACTTGAAGGATGCATAAAGAGATAATAAAAAAAAAGGGTGACATACTCGGTACACCTAAGAGGCCAACTGAAAGGAAGATCATGATATAAAAAAAATCCTAGTTCGAAAAAGTGATCCCCAAAAAAGACCATAGAGGCATTTAACGAGGCTAAACGGAAGAAGGATAGTAGCGACGACGAAGAAAAATACCATAAAGGGAAGTGTTAATACATCGCATATATCAGATTCCGAGATAGTTAAAAGGTAGGTGGAATCCCAAATGAAAATTTTCCTTGGTCATAAATTGAGGCACACCAAACGAGAGCTTTTACATAAAAAAATTTAAAATAAAAATAAAATAAAAGCCCTCTTTTACCCAAGGAAATGAAGTTTTTAGGGTAACTTTTAACCAAACACCAAATAAGGCTTATAGTGTTTAGTCTCCAAATAAAATAAGGATTTTGCACTTGCTGATCTCGAATCAATAGGAAGTTTTTATTTGGTTATCCTCTAAACCAAACTAGGTTTTGCATAGACTAACCACGAAACAAACTGTGATTTTTACTAGGTTGATCTTGAACCTAATGAGCTTTTACGCCAGGATGAACTTAGAAATTGAGAGAGATTTTAACGTGGCTGATCTCGAACCGAAAAAGCTTTTCATTGGGCTAAGCTCAAGAATCCTTGTGGAGATTTTCACTGGTTGATCTTCACGAACCAAAAGAGATCTTTTTTTTCATTAAAAAAGAGAGCTTTGATAGAATTCTCATCAACGGGGAAAGTTCTTGTGACATGATGTATACGAAGATTTTAAAAAATCGGAGTTTAAATGGGAGAAGGTTTGGCCGTTTAAGGGAGTTTCCCTACAAGCTTTCAACATCACTGTCACTCGCCCTTGAGAGGACATTGAGCAAATGGTCACCCTAGGGGAAAAGAAGGCCATAAGGACAGTTGGCTTGCAATGTTTAGTGGTTTCCATCAAAAAGCGTATACAACTGCATCTTTGGTAGACCCTTAGTGACAATGTTGAACATGGTAGCCTTTTCAGTCCAGTTGAAAATTAAGTATGACAAGGTTCACGATGAGCCGATGATAATATGCACCAACTTGTCGAAACACAAAGGATGCATAAGATTTTGTCGCTTTCTTATTTCTTCTATGGATATGACATAATAAATTTTCATTTACTTAGTTTTTTTTTTCTTGCTTAAATGTTAGATATATATTTTATTTATTTTAAATATGAAACAAATTAGTAGAAACACAATCATCAATTAGTTTTGGATCTTATTTTGTTTCTCTTTTCATTTGGTTGTAGTTTATGATTTGTCATATATTTTGATTAATACAACTTAATGTTATTAAATGATAGTTTACCCAAAAAAATGAAGAAAAAAAAAAGAATATAATTTAAATTTAGTTTTTCATAATAGTTTACCCAAAAAATGAAAAATAATAAAATAAAAGAACAATACTCAATATTTGAGATTCAACCAAACCAAGTACACATAGTTTTCTATGTCCAAAATTGGGACACGAAATCATTATTTTATCCATGCAATCATGTCCCCTTCCAATGTCTTTGATCCGCTTTACTTTTCAGCTGCTGGGTCCATAAGACCCCATTCCCATACAAACAACTTGACCCATTAACGACAATATCATTAATCATAGTTTTCTAGAAACTCCTGATTTTTTTTTTTAATGAATAGTCATTTAAGATTCTGTATATTTTTAATAAAGTTATTGTCTAAACTGTTTTATTATAAATTAATTAAAAATAGATTAGCAAAAATAACTAATATTTCATTGATGTTTAAAAATAATACTAGCAAATAGTACTTCAATCCTAGTAGCTGACACTATTTATTTCAATATAAATGTCTATTTTATAATATTTATAAGCTTTACAATTGTGTAGATTGGAGTAGTAGATAACCATTGACTTAAAAAGTTAAAACAAGTCAAATGCAATGAGTCTAGAATCAGGAGTGTTTAAATCCAAACCAATTTAAATAAAAATTATAAATTAATTAAAAAAATTAAAAATCACAAAAAGTTAAAAATTATTGAATGTGTTTGGATGTCATTTTATAAAAAATTTTTCATTCGGATTGAATTTCGAATTGATTTTTCAAAACCGATCCAAATTAAACCGAATCGCATGTATATATTTTTATACTTATTTGTTTTAATACATTGTGTTAATTTATTATTAAAATATCTTTTTAATAAAATACCATTTATTCGTTTTATTTAATCTATTAATTTTTATTATTTCATTTTATTTCAATAATCGACCATTATCATTTTATAATATTAACTTTTAATATAATATATATTATATATTATATCAAATTTATTATTTATTAGTGTTTTTATAATATTAATAAAATTATAATTTGTAATTTGAAATTCAAAAAACCGATCCAAACAAACCGCAAGAAATTGGATCGGATCGGATTGGATTTTTTTAACTAATCATTTAAAATCGAATCAAACCGTAAATAAATTTATCCTTGAATCAAATGACATTTTACTTTAAAACCGATTCAAACCGAACCGCGAACACCCCTATTTAAAATATTTTTCTAATTTTTTAAATATCTATTTTTTTAATCAATATGAGAAATACAGACCTTTTGGCAACACCAAAAAAGAAAAGAGTATGGAGAATCCATATTTTTCTCATTTGTATAAATTTGTCATGCATTAATCTAGTTTTATATATTTTAAGACCTTTAAATTTAAAGGGTTAGATATTGATTAATTTGATGCAAATGGAAGGTGAATAAGTGGATATTTTTTCTATAATAATAATAATAATTACTTAACATACAATAATAGTTGTAAAGTACACCACCACAAGTCCCAATAGTGGAAGGGAGACATCATCAAATAATTCTTAGTTCATTCTAGCAATGGCATCCAGTGACGGCAAAAGCGAGACATCAAAATAATAGAGTTTAAACAAAGGAGTAGTTGTTGCAAGTTGCAAGGCAGAAGAATCTAGCAGATGGATGAACGAACATCTATTTCCTGAGTCCATGCATTCCGGTCCTGAACGTGCAGATGCCAATATGTTTGAGCCAGAGCATCAGGGTCCATAACACCCTCACCTCCTCCCCGAGACGTTGTCGTTGCCGCCGACGCCGGTGATCCTCTGCATCCATAACATAATATGCACGTCAGCACAAAATATGAGAGAAAAGGAAGATTCTGAGAAGAAATAAACAAACCTGGGTGGGCCAATGAGACCGTCGATAATAATATGAGCTATATGCACTCCTTGTGGTTGAAATTCTTTAGCAAGACATTGCGATAGCGCTCTTAAAGCGAATTTCCCACAGCCTGTCTCATAATTCATGCATGCAAATCCAAAATTTTCACTAATTTATTTAACTTTAACTAAACTCAATTGATTATAAATAATGAATAAAATGAATTACATACATAGTTCAGAGTATCCAGCAATGCCGTTTAAAGAAGCGGAGCAGCCAGTAAACAGAATCGTTCCCTTTCCTCTCTCAACCATACCAGGCAGCACCTATAATTAATCATTCCATCATTAATGAATTAATTAATTAGCCAAATTATTATATTAATTAATCCTAATTAGGTACCTGTTGAGAACAGTTGAAAGCACCAAGAGATGAAACCGCTAGAGAAGTTTGAAAAGTTTGAATGGGAAGAAGTTGAAAAGGAGTAGGCTTAGATTGAAGCGGTGACTGATAATTAGCATTGTAAACAAGAACTTCAACGAATCCAAGCGAAAGAACACCTTCGAATGCTTCTCTCACGCTTCTGGAATCTGAGCAATCAATTCTTATCGCAAACACTTGTGCTTTTTCTTCCCTCGCTATTTCCTCCGCGAATTCTGATAATCTCCCTAAGTCACGTGCCAGGATCGCGACGGTGTAGCCTTCGTGAGCGAACTTGCGAGCGATGGAGAGCCCGAGGTTGGGGCCCACGCCGACGATGGCGGCTATATTGCCTCTTGAGCTCGCCATGCTTCGCATCTTGTAAGTAGTAGAGAGTGGCAAGTATCGGAAAGAGATGGGTGGTTTATGCAACTAGTGTGGTGGAGTGAGTAGATGAAAAGATGAGTATTTTTATGTTATTTTAGGCTTAATTTCTAAATCTGGTCAACTTCTAATTTTGGTTATGTTTTTCAATATTTCATTCTCTTTATAAAGTAAATTGATGGCCAACACATGTCTTATATTCAGGGACTGTCCATTTAATATGAACCAATTTATTTTTATATTTATGGTTTATAAACCAATTCATTTTTATGGTTATGGTTTATAAATCAAACCACTTGTTATAAATCGGATTAAAATCGGTTTTAAATGGATTTTGATTTTAACCCAAATTATTTAGTTAAATTTAAATTTAAATATTTTTAAATTATATTAATTTTTAAATTTAAATACTTAGATTTTAATATATTTTTCTTTGAAAATAAATATATAAAAATATTTAAAAAACAATTTTAAAAAAAAAATCTAAAAATAAAAAATATTTAAAAAATTAAAAATAAAAAATTCTAAAATAAAAAATTTCAGCAAATTATATGGACTTAAAATGATAATAATATTTATATTACATATATTTTTATATTTCAAAACCTCTATCTATTGGTGGAGAAATCTATAATATTTATAGTTATTTTTTCATAAAACTTTAATGAACTTCGAGATTTATAAATGAAAATTAGAGTCAAATTCAACAACATTTTGTATATTTTCTTCCACATGTTAAATCAAGTTTGATGCACTAAGACCTATATAATTAATTACTGAAAGTTCATATAATTAACTGATAAAAGTTCATATGATTTGTGAAGTATTATTACATTATTTTAGGTAGTTAGAGAATTTGTAAACAATTTTTTTTTCATTTTAAAATACAAAATTTTGAATCTTTTGGTTTTAAACATAAAATTAGTTTATAACGTATATATGATAAAACATGAAAAGAGACAAAAACATATTAATTTAACATATAATGAAATTTGGATAACCAATAACTAAACCACATGAAAACCGGTTTATATTTGGATAACAAAATGGATAACCAAATTTATATTTTAGCATTTGGTTTGGATTTTTAAAAGTGGAACAATTTGGATACAAATTTGGTTAATAATAGCCGGTTTTTTTGCGCACCCCTAACTATATCATAATAATTTTTTTTTTTTGAAAAAGGAGTTAGGCAAAAATATTTTTAAGATCTTTTTAAAGTTATTTTATTATAACCATGTGGTTCTTTATGTTTTTTTCCCTATAAATTGTTCATTTATGTTAACTAACGTGTTTATTGTTGACTATTTTCACAAGCTTTATTTTTAAAAAACTTATGTGGCATTAACAACGTTGATGTGTCGTATAAAGACATGATGAAGAACATGTTGAAGATGTTGACGATGTGTGTTTATGTCATAATGTTAGTTTTGATTTTTGAAGTGTTGATGTGTATTTGGTTCAGAAGTGACGATCATTGTTAATTTTGATATTAGTGTCGTAAGACATGACTTTTGGTACCTTCATATAACAATTATTAACAATGGTTAATTCTTCAATTCATACCAGTTTTGTTACAGTAAAATCGTAATTTGTACAAGATACAAAACTTGAAGGACCTGACTATTACAATTTAAAAACAAATGAACCTGTTTGTAGCGAAAATAATATAAAGGACTGTCTTGTTACAATAAAATAACTTAAAAGACCTGGTTATTACAATTTAAAAACAAATGGGCATGTTCGTAGCGGGACTGCCTTGTTACAATAAAATAACTTAAAGGGCTCTGGGTATATTTTTGCCAATGCTTTATTAATAGAAATTAGTTGGCTTTTTTTACAATTGGGCTTGTTTTGGTTTATAGTCCTAAACTTTTTTCGAAGTCAGTTGGGCTATGGGTTAGGTAGTGGGCTTCCCTAGATAGTCCTTAGCCACCACACGAAACTATTTAAATGCCTTTGGATTTCAGAGATTCATCTCCGAGCGCATATATTTCTCAATAAACGTTAAAATATTTTGGATATGCATCTCTGAAACAATTTTAAACATTCAATAAACCAACTTAAAAGCCATTTACATTTGAATTGTAGCAGAGATGCATCTCGGGTAATATTCCGGATATACATCTCTGAAATGTATCGAAAGAGGTACTTAATGATATAAGTTATTTATCTGTGTTCAGATGAAGTATAACGCATGATGGCAAATAAAAATAGAAGTATAAAATAATAAGAGACTAATAGTATGTGTGTCGAAAATAAAATAGTAATATATGTAGAAAATGTCGTACAATCGACATCCAAAATGTAGTAAGACCGTCAAAATAAAGTATAAAGTATAGTACAATAAAAAAAATAGTAAGAGACTATTACTATGTGTGTTTGACAACATCTCATCTACCTCATCTGCCAGCTCTACCTCCTCGGCCATCAATCCCCTCCGTCTTCTGACGATGTCTCCTGTACAACAATGCCTCCCGTCCCTCCGTCATGATGGCATCTAGGACTTTCTTGACACCAGACCCATCAGGGAAGATACATTCGTCAACGTCTTCCCGAACAATCTCCACTATGCAATGACACTTAGGTAAGACATCATCAGTATGATCTAGTTGAGTCTGCTCTTCCTCTAGTATCTTCCGATGAGCTGATCTCGACAGATCTCTTGGAGTTGCATGCACCATATACGGATGTGACACCCTGAAGAACCATCTGATGTACCCTTCAACGTAACTCCAATTGCTCGGGGCTATGGTAGCCCGTGCCTCCTCCGGTACCAGATGACTCTCATAATCATCAAACATCTCCCTTATTTGTCTACATGTCAAGGCAGGAGGAGCAGAGACACCAGGGTGCCTGGGAATATTCTGGACATAGTCGAATTGCCGTATGACGTGCTCGGGAAAATAAAGAGTAGTGAGACGCGATCCGTAGGCTAACTCACATATGATGGATTCATGGATTCAATCATCTTTCAAATCCATAAGTTTAACTTTAGTTTCTCAATCAAAGAACCAGGGTGGCTTCTATTTCTAATGGTGTTTCTTTTCTAATTACAATCCCTAACACAAAGTCTTTCTTCTTTCTTGCCATTAATGGTGATATCTTCTTCAACAATCTGATCCACAAGCTGCTTACAATCTGTTCTAACCAAATTACGCTCTATTTTCATATCCATCACAAGGTTGAGAGCTTGGATTATCACTTATACTTCAACTGCAGTGGGATTTAGGCAGGGTCGTCTTTGAGGGCCTAAAAGGTGGGCTACCACACATGATCCAAAATTTTCTAAGGTTAAATATGGTTAAATAGGGTCCTTAAAAATATTGACACGGTTAAATTGTTGTTTAATACGACCTCTATTTTTTTCCATGGTTAAACCACATCTAATATACACGAGACCTCCAAAAACTTAAGACGACTTTGATTAAGGTAGCCTGCTTGTTTTACTACTACAAAAAGTAGACATCGTAACGAAATTTCACTCCGGACAAAGTATCCACCGTGTTAGAAGCTTTTGAATTAGGCGCATTCCTTTCACTTTCATTTTAATCCACTTTTTACCACGGTCAAAGTTTCCAAACATGATGAAAAGTGTTGTCTGGTCATGGGCTCGAATCTCAGCACTAGCGGTTTTATTTTTTGTTATTTATTTTTAAGCAATTTTTTACATCAATTGAAATTACAACAGCGGTGAAAAGTGTTGCATGGTCATGGGATCGAATCCCAACACCAACAATTTTGTTTTTTATTCATTTTAAAGTCATTTTTCATGCATGGTCATGGGATCGAATCCCAACAGCAACAATTTTATTTTTAATTTATTTTTAAGTCATTTTTCACTATAGTTGCAACTCTAAGTATGGTGAAAAGTGGTTTATTTCTATTTTTTGTTAGTTAAAAATAAGCTATATTTTTAAGATCTATAACGCTCCTTATTCATTCATTTTTTCCTAGACGAACTTCATCTTCCATTTACAAAACTCTATTTCTACACTAAACCAAACTCGAAAACATCATTTCTTCCATAAAAAACTCGAAAAACATCATTTCTTTCATTAACATATTTTGGAACTCCATCATCTCTTCTCCAACTTGAACGAGGCAAGGAAAACATGGATTCAATTTAGCAATGTTAGTTGTTGTTGTGTTAGGTAAAATGTTTAACGTTGTTGTTGTTGTTCTTGTTTTTGTTGAGATTTAATGTTTAACGATTATATTGTTTTTGTTTTTGTTGTTTTTGCTATTTTTTTCTTGTTGTGGTTTTTGTTGTTGTTGTTGTTTAGATTTAATGTTTAATAGTTTTATTGATTTTGTTATTGTTGTTGTTGTTGTTGTTGTTGTTGTTGAGATTTAATATTTAATGATTCTATTAATTGTGTTATATTGTTGTTGTTGTTGTTGGGATTTAATGTTTAACGATTATATTGCTTTTTTTTGTTATTGTTATTATTGTGGTTGTTGTATTCATTGTTCTTGTTCTTGTTTTTTTTTCTTTTTATTCTTGTTCTTGTTCTTGTTGTTATTTTTATTCTTGTTCTTGTTCTTGTTCTTATTATTTTGGTTGTTTTTATTCTTGTTGTTGTGTAAAAAAATATTTAATATTCTATAATATGATCAAAGTTCTCAATCTAGTGGGCCAAATCTTGTGGCAAAAATGAAACTTTGGGTTGATCGGCTTTTCACCAAAGTTGAAACTTCTAATCATGGTGAAAAGTGGGTTGACTGACACTTCCTCATGGTTGGAAGTTCCAACCATGGTAAAAAAAATGGACTGACTATATTTCACCACAGTTGGAATTTCTAATCATGGTGAAATGTAACATGCGTTATCCAACTTTTCACCATAGACCTTAGCACGTGGTAGAAAGTAACTCCCTCAGTGTCACACCATTCGTTACCACAGATCATCGTCTGTAATGGAATCCTTCTTCTAACCTATGGGATAAATACTTTTTGTAGTAGTATCTCCAGGTATTTTCAGCTATTTTACC